AGACGGCGAAAAAGGCGAAGAAGAAGACGAAGGCGAAGAAGAAGAAGGCGAAGAAGAAGAAGGCGAAGAAGAAGAAGACAAAGGCGAAGAAGAAGAAGAAGAAGAAGAAGAAGAAGAAGAAGAAGAAGAAGAAGAAGAAGAAGAAGACGATGATGAAGAAGACGAAGACGAAGACAAAGACGAAGACGAAGACGGCGACGACGACGACGACGACGACGACGAAGACGAAGACGAAGACGAAGAATAAGAAGAAGAGGAAGAAGAAGAAGAAGAAGACGAAGACAAGGAAGAAGAASAAGAGGACGACGTCGAATACGACGAAGACGAAGACGACAAAGAAGACGAAGAATACGACGACGACGAAGAAGATGACAACGACGATGAAGAAGAAAAAGAAGAAGAAGGACAAGGCAAAGAAGAAGAAGAAGAAGAAGAAGAAGAAGAAGAAGAAGAAGAAGAAAAAGAAGAAGAAGAAGAAGAAGAAGAAGAAGACGATGAAGACGACGACGACGACGACGACGACGACGACGAGGAAGAAGACGACGAAGAAGAAAGCGACGAAGAAGAAGATGGCGAAGAAGAAGACGGCGAAGCAGGCGAAGAAGGCGAAGAAGAAGAAGAAGAAGAAGAAGAAGAAGAAGAAGAAGAAGAAGAAGAAGAAGAAGAAGAAGAAGAAGAAGAAGGAGCGTGAGAAGCAGGAGAAGCAGCAGCAACAATAAAAGAAGAAGAACGACGAAGACGAAGACGAAGACGAAGACGAAGAAGAAGACAAAGACGAAGACGAAGACGAAGAAGACGACGACGACGACGACGACGAAGACAAAGACGACGACGACGACGTCGAAGACGAAGACGACGACGTCGAAGACAAAGACGAAGATGAAGAAGAAGACGAAGAAGAAGAAGAAGAAGACGAAGAAGAAGAAGAAGAAGAAGAAGACACGACGACGAAGACGAAGAAGAAGAAGAAGAAGAAGAAGAAGAAGAAGAAGAAGAAGAAGAAAACGGAGAAGAAGAAAACGGAGAAGAAGAAGAAGAAGAGGAAGAAGAAGAAGAAAAAAAAGAAGAAGAAGAAAAAGAAGAAGAAGAAGAAGWAGAAGAAGAAGGAGAAGAAGAAGAAGAAGAAGAAGAAGAAGAAGAAGAAGAAGAACAGGAAGAAGAAGAAGAAGAAGAAGAAGAAGAGGACGACGATGAAGATGGCGAAGACGAAGACGGCGACGAAGAGGGCGACGAAGAAGACGGTGACGAGGAAGACGAAGACGAAGACGAAGACGAAGACGGCGACGACGAAGACGGCGACGACGAAGACGAGGACAACGACGACCACAACGAAGACGAAGAAGAAGAAGAAGAAGAAGAAGACAACGACGACGACAACGAAGAAGAAGAAGAAGAAGAAGAAGAAGA